GGCATATTTCTGAACAAAAAAGTCGGCGTAACTTATTTACGTCTGTGCCACTTACGGAAATATTTTAACAATTGGCTTTAAATCAACTTTACTCAATTTCAGGAATTTTACCATTCTATACTAGAGCTGAAAATTTGAGTTCGCGTACCTTCCATAATTTAAACTTTATTGTCGAATATATCAAGCAACATGTTTTGATTACAAGGAAGGCTTGTCAGTCTTTTCCGTAAAAAAAAACTAAAGACTATTGAAATACCTAATACAGTGCAAAACTTGCTGTATATTACGGCTTAGTATGAAAGTTTAATATGACCGTGTGGCCTAATGGATAAGGCGTCGGACTTCGGATCCGAAGATTGCAGGTTCGAGTCCTGTCACGGTCGCTAAACTTTTTATTGTTTTCTTTTATCCAAGATGAGCAGTTTTTTATTATATGCAGAAACCAAAAACTACAAAATATTCTTGTTAGTTTCTCTCTAATTGTATTTAACGTCTTAAAATAAATATGATCTTTTTCACTGGTTTGTTATTTGAAAAACGACCCACTCTCAATTCGGTCAATTCTTGCTCCCTAACGAAAATTTACAATATAACTATGGAATCAAATGCAAAATTATCTTTTAGGTCTCCAGGCTTCAGCTGATTTACAAACAGATTCATTGGTTGATTCAGAATGGTCCTTCGCCATTGCCCAGATAGTTCCATTAAGAACCCTTCATCATGGCGAAGGATCTAAAAATTTTTTGATTTTGGGGTAGGTTTTTATAGAACGGAAAATGTGATGACGGATGTGAGCCTCTACAATATTTGAAACTTTGCGATTTTCATTTTTCAATATTCGCCAAAACGTCTAAAATTCGGGTGGGACCAATAGGATTTTAACGCCTTTATTACATGAAAATACTACATTGAAGGGGCTTATTGCTTATTACTAACATCAACATTACTTCGATGGAAATCAAGGAACTTTAAATATAAGAGATTTATCCTTTCAGAACCAGAAAAATATAGTCATATAATTAACATTACCTTTGGACATTTTTAGCTCTCTTATTTCTATCTGACTGTGTTTCTTCAGATTGCTATGGATTGAAATTGTTTCATATTATAATCATAGCCTCCTGGACTTTATAACCAGGTTTGTTGACCAAAAACACGAAAAATCACGGCTTATGCCACTTTAATTTACAAAATGGTAAAGTAGTTCTTCATTTGTACTTTTACCCGTTGTTTTAGAATTTTGTATACATGTGTTCTAGTTTCACGGAATAACAAGTTTTATGTTCTATAGTTTTGTTTGCATTTACTGGAACGTCGCTTAAAACTTTTTTTAAATGTTTGATTTTTTTTTCGAATTGTGCTTTTTAATTGCAGATTTCAAAGTATTTGTCAAATCAAGGTTTTTGAAATAAATGATAATGGTCCATTTTTCCTTGGTCTGTCTCCTCTAAAATTAAATAATCGGATACATACATACTTGGTTAATTAAACAGTAAATATAACAAATCTATCTAGGCAATTACCGTTAAACAAACCTTCTTCACACATATTGGAAATTTGTACGTAAGATATATCAATTCAGATATTTGTGTTTTGCAGGTGATATCAAATATTATGTGCACATAATCTGAACTCTTTAGTTCACTAATTGAAAACATAATTCATAGTTCCGTGAAATCTATATTTTTCGTGGATCAAACAGACCGTTATTATGTAATACTTTTAGATTGAATCTTGAATTAAGAGGAATCCTTCGCCATTGTTTAGACAATGATTTGCCGCCGAATTTGTTAAATTTATTTGTTCTTTTAAGTTGCAATTGCTTCAACAATGGAAATGTTTGTCAACATATACGCTTTATTAATATACAGTGAATCCTAAAAAAATAGTTTAAATTAATTTCAAATTCAGCGAAGTATTTAATGGCAAAAAGCTCGATCCCGCCAATTTTTATTTGTAAATGCGATTTATGATACCATATTTTTTTACAGTGCGGTCCAAAAAGAAGCTACCGCCTTGAGCTTGATTTTCTCAAATGGAAGCACCAATTTTTATTTCAATTATGAATTATCCATTGTATTCTTCGAATGATTCACGTACTATGTGCTATACCTAAACTCAACAGGACTTGAGGAATTTTCGAATTAACAAAAAGTATTTACCAAAGTAACAAGATGCAGTAACAAATCGGTTATTTTCAGGACTGCATAATTTTGAACGCAATCGTCGCTATTAATTATTGACCGATCCAATGGTAAATTTATCGGCAACTCTCCCGTTTAGAATTAAATCTAATGGAGTTTACATATCTACAATAATTTGGCGAATGGCATATTTTACATGACTTTAATTTTCGTGTTCTCTATTTTTTTTGAACATTGATTATCTGGTTTATTTGTTATTTATTGGCTTAATTTAAGTATTATTACTTTAAACTTTTATTGTGATGTCTGTTTATTTATGTACTTACAAACTTGTATCTAACGGTTTTACAGACTGTAAGTAAAATAATATTCAATTCTTAAGCATCTGGTGTTCCCTGTTCTCGTGTTGCATCTGATGAATCCGGTATTTACGATATCTTATAAAAAATTATCTTGGGATCTAAGAAGTCACGGTGTGCACGYTAATTAATGATTTGTTTTTTCATAAACTAATGGCATATAAAAAACGCGACCCTTTKATTTGCAACAAGTAAAACTTTTATTCTGCGACATTGCATCCGTTGCAACATTGCTAAGCAGTAGAGAAGTCTATTGTTTTCATAAGGATGCAGCGAGGCGGTAAACGCAGACATTTGAAGTAATTCTTCTTGAGTGAATACCTATTCTAGTTCTACAGCTTAACTTAATTAGGTACTTAAAATAAAGTATTAACTATCATAGTTTATATAGTTAGCAGTTATCGTTATATTTAAATACTAAGGTGGTTTGAAAATTTCGTGCAAAGTCAGAGGGAGAGCACTACTGGTGACTAGCAACTCTTGGAAGAACGCAGACCAAGTTTCAGCCAGATCGATTTATTTCTTTGTGTTTGGCGTTCGTTTGAATCAAAGAAGTCGAGATATTTTGAAAACATGAACGACAAATAATTTTGCGTCATGTTGAAACATTAGTCTATGAAAGATGAATCACTTTAATAAGAGACTAAAGAAAAGCTTGGTAAATATTATGCTTACTACACCATCTTATTTATTTATTTATTTATCGTATGGCAATTTAGACACAGTAAAGTTAAATGCTAATTTATACATATAAGTTAATAGAACAATCTTTAGGATTTCACAAACAAATATCAAGTCGATTAATGTAATCTATAGACCCGGCGGTTGCCAGCAGGAAGTCTTCAGGTCTGCCGTTGTAGGATCTTGTGGCGTATTCATCCGTGATGGTATTTTCCGCAGTCGCAGTAGGATGGTGTTTGTTTGCCCCATTTGCGCAGGAGGCCTGCGCATCTGCCATTTTGCGCTCTAATTATGTTAAGTGTGGACCAGGTTCTGCGTTATTCATAAGTCCATGTATTGGTCAGATTGAACTCCTCTTGCATTTCTGCACCTGCCGTTTTAGTCGGTCGATTTCTGGAGCGGCGGCGATTGTGGTTAGAGTCCTCAATATTTTGGTGTATTGGCAGATTTCCGTTCCCCACGATCTTTTTGTACTCTCGTGTATACTCATTATACTGGTGATACTCTGTGCGGAAGTATCCACCCATTGTCTCCAGGTCTGTTGTTAGGATTTCCTCAGATAGTTTAATTGAGTTACATCTGGTTGTAAGCACCCAATTGTCGGCGTAACCGAACTTAGTTGACCTTGTTTCCGACACATTCGCAATATATAGACTGAAGAGAAGCGGAGCGAGCACTGATCCCTGTGGCAAGCCGTTGTTAAGTTGCTTTGGTGAGCCGATGTGTCGGTGCCCATTGTAACTTGAAACATCCGATCACCAAGCATGTT